TCTCCCACCTCGATGGTGTACTGCTCGAAGATGCGCAGCTGCAGGAAGATGTCCAGCTTGATCTTGCGCTCGTGGAACAGCTCCTCCATCTGGCCCTGCGCCTCGTCCAGCTGCTGCAGCACCCCCTGGATGTGAGCGATGGAGCTGCAGTGCGGCGTCTTGTTGGTCGACATGGCCGCATCTCTGCAAAGACGCAACGGAGAAAAGAATGGATCGACTGCAGGAAGCGCAGCGTTCACGTCGCTGCAGCAGAAACGAGTTTGGGATTTTATAGCTAAATCAAACCGCTAACATGTTTCATCGGGTTTCTCTGGATAACGTGAAGTCCTTTAGATGACACACGCTGTGAACTCTAAATACATGAAACTGAAGTGATCTTAAGGCGCTTTAAATTATTTACGAGGTGCGATAAAAAAGCTCAGTGTGTGTTTCTGACACTGCGGCCCTTCTGTTAGCTTAGCATCGTACAGGTGGACCTTATGCGAGGTGCTCATTTGAGATTCAATCGTGGACGTGAGGGGGTCCAAGTCTGCAGAAACCTGCGTTAACAGGCCCGAGACGATGCGACCTTCATGTGGAGGATCGTCACGGTGACGGGAGGAGGGTCTGCAGCTACCACAAGGAGAAGAAACAGCAGACGAGTCCGAGACAGGAGCTGCTCGCTGTGTTCTTCAACATTCGCCTGGTTCTTACCGTGAATTCACCTCCCAGAGTTCTACTGTGACGTCTGGAGGCAGAACATTCGCTGTAATTAACACCAGTCTCTGTCGACACCACCACCATCGTCGCCCTCCACCTGCCCGTCTCACCAGATCCGTCTACCTGCGACTTCTTCCTCATCCCCAAAACTGAACTCCAGTTAGAGGGCTGGACACAGTTCAGGAGATTCAGACGGCGCTCCACGTTTACAGATCAGGACTTCCAGGGAGCGCTACCAGTGCTGCAGGAGCTCTGGGAGCAGAGCATCAAATCTTCTGAATCACTTTTAGATGTAATTGAGGGGGTTGGTGCCAAACTGGGCCGAACCACACTGACCAGCTTTAGAGAAAAATGGGCCCAAAAATTTGTGTTCCTAAAAGAACATCCTGGTTGTTGGAGGAGTGACCATCCAGAGATGTTCCAACGCTGACCAGAGATAGAAACAGATGCTCTGCGATGACTTATTTCAGTTTTAATTTGTCTTCTGCTGAGTGCCAAAGCGGGCCGATCCTCGTGGTGGTTAATGAAGTTTAATTTACCTACGAGTTGAGTTTTTAAGGGGCTGTCCGCCATCTTCAATCGCAAACACGTTGCAACTACCTGAGATATAACGGTCAGCGATTCCCAGTTTGCCACTAAATTTTCAGACCAAAACCATCATGGGCCAAACTTTTTATTGTGACACTACTGGTGGGCTGCTGGTTGGCCCACTTCGGCCCTGAACCCTTTGATTTATTTCCAATTCTGAAATACAAAACCCATTTAGCGAACCGGAGCTGAGACGTGTTTACAATCAGCGTTCATGACTGTTTGTCGTCTTCCCTCGGCGGCGACACAAACGTGACATTTCGATGACATTTTGAGTATTAACGTTGTTACCTGAGCCGCTGAGTAAACCCGTCTCCCTCTAACGACGTCATAAATATTAACATCAGAACCGTGGATAATGAGAACTCTGTGATTACCTGAGCTGCTGTATCAACTCCTCTCCTTCCTTGATCACGTTGAGCGTCGCCTCCAGCGTGGCCGTCTGCTGCTGCTGGAACTGCTGGATCAGAGTCTGAACCGAGTCCACCGAGTCGCAGCACACGTCGTCCAGCAGCTGTTTCTGCAGCTCCTCCATCCACGACCACAGCTGGACAGATGTGACCCACTCGTTAGAACAGAACGGAAACCGGCCGTCTCCGAGGCTAAAGTGAAACTGTGGCCCACCTCTTTGGTGTGAGTGTGGAAGGACACCGACATGTCCAGCAGCAGCTTCCTGTGCTCGACCCGGCGGACGAAGTCCTGGATCCGGACCTCCAGGTGTCGCGCTGCTTTGTAGATTTCTTCTGGGTCACATTCTCCGGTTTGAGCCAGTTGTTCTGCCGCCTCCAGCAGCTTGTCTGCATTCGTGTACGTGTTCTGAAACAAAGAGGAAGAACCGTCGTCATCATCTGGTTTCTGTTTTACTGCTGAGTCGGAGGGTTTTCTGCTCCTCTGTCACTTTTCATGCCAGCAACAGGTCCTGCACCTCAACACCAGCACGACCACGGCTACAAGTAGACAGAACTCACAAATATCCAAACATTTAATATAACATTTAATTTACATTCTGGACAAATTTAGTTTGCTGTTACAGCAGACAGGAACCGTAGCATCCAAATCTGTCTGTATTTGGTCTCCACCAGCGTTTAATTTAACAGCGTTCACACCAGTAATAACACACATACACATGTCATGAAATATTAATTCTGTTTCTGTAAATCATCTTCCTCCTTCTCCCATAAAAAGGACTAAATCCTGTCTGAGTATTAAAGCTCCCAGCATGCACCGGGACAAACGGATTAGTGTCGGTTTCTTCTGGTCAACGCAGCAGATGATCTGGAATATCTCACTTCAGGAAATGTATTAGGTCTGAGATATTCTGACGGGAGGCCGGAGCGAAACGAAGAAGTGCTGCCCTGTAATCACAGTTATTCCAGGATATGAGTCGGCCTGTTAGCGGATGCTTCACATGTTGGAGGGATTAGTCTGAAGATAAAGGTTCTAATTTACGGGAGATTGTTGCGCTTTGCTGCATGACTGGTTTGGTTCAGTGTGAGGATTACAGCAGAGAGACGACAGGAGGCCGAGACCTCAGACCTGAGCACACAAACCTGACGTTTTACACAAACTCATGATTTAAATAAACTTAAACTGTTAGCGCTCCTCCTGATGCTAATGCAGCTATTACAGAGTACATTTAACCAACCAGGAGGTACATCCCAACCACCCACCCGTTAGCCTAAACAACATANCCCAAAATGAGGATCCAAACCAGTTGAAAAAAGCTAAAACTAAGTTGTGAAAAAATACAAAAACTACGTTCGAAAACAGGCCTGAAGCCAGTCTGAAACCAGTTTAAAACCACCGATGTAAAACCAGAAAAACAGTCCTGAAACCAGTTTAAAAACAATCCTAAAACCAGTCTTAAGCCAATTTAAAATCAGTCTGAAGCCAGTTAAAAGTCAATCTGAAACCAATTACAACAAGTGTGAAACCAGTTTTAAACCAGTTTAAAAACAAGATTAAAACCAATCCACAAACAGTCTGAAACCATTGTGAAACTAGTGTAAAACCAGTGTGGAACCGGTTTAAAACCAGTCTGGAACCAGTTCAACAACAGGCCTGAAGCCAGTGAGAAGCCAGTTTAAAACCAGTCTGAAACCAGTGTGAAACTGGTTTGAAAGCAGTTTAAACCCAGTGTGAAACCAGTGTGAAACCAGTGTGAAACCGGTTTAAAGGTGCGGCTGAAGCTGCTGCTGTCACCTCTTCAGGTTGTTCCTGGGTTTGGTCAGCGCCGGTGTCTTGGGCAGGTGCAGCGGCTCCTTCAGCGCCCCCTTCAGGTGGGTCATCCTCTCCTGGATCACCTCCCGGATGTTCTTGATCCACTCCTGCTTGGCCTCCATGCTGGACGCCTGCAGCACAAACAGCTTCGTGTTACACCTGGAAGGAAACACCTGGAAACACCTGGAGACCCCTGGAAACACCTGGAAAGACCTGGAAGGAAACACCTGGAAAGACCTGGAGACACCTGGAGACACCTGGAGACACCTAGAAACATCTGGAGACACCTGGAAACACCTAGAAACACCTGGCGACATCTGGAGACACCTGGAAACACCTGGAAACACCTAGAGACACCTAGAAACACCTGGAGACACCTGGAAACACCTGGAGACACCTAGAAACACCTGGAGACACCTCGGAGCCAGCGAGTACAGAAACACTGAGACGGGAAACGGTTTTAGTTTTTACTGAACTCACTTTGAGCACCGTCTTGTTGTCGGAGGACGGAGTTCTTCCGGCCCAGAGAGCGAACTTACAGGGGTCGCCCTCGATGTGCTCGGTTACGCCCAACTCCGACGTCTGCAGGAGAACGACAACGTTACCAGAACACAGTCGGTGTTTGGTCAACGTCAGGAGAACATAACATTGTTCCAGTTTAAAGACGTTTGACGTGTTAAAATGTTAATATGGACAATTCTGGACAAGTTTAAAGTAGTTCTGGACAAATGTTGAGTCATTTACCGCCACCGTCACGGTTCCGGCGGCTCGGACTCACCAGTAGTCTGTTCTTGTACTGGTACTTGGTTCTGCCGGCCGAGTCTTTGATCTCTTTGCTGAAGACGAGCGAGAACTCGAAGAGGAAGAGGTGTCGGTCGCGTCCCTTCCTGATCAGAGACCGAGGATCCCAAACCTGGAAGCTGTCCTGCAGGATGAGTTCTCCCTGGACCTCCAGGTTCTCCTCGAAACCTGGGAGGAACCACAGACGAGCACCAGGATTAGACAGAACCGGGCCTCGTGTAGGAAGAACGGCAGCAGAGAAATGTTTGGGTTTGTGATCGTTGTTTAACGGATGTTCCGGGTTTTCATGTAAACAGAACATCTGGTAAGATCACAGAAAGAAGTATCATGCTGCTGCTGCCACATGTACAGATGTTCCACTCTTTTGTGTGTCCGTTGTGTGTCTGTTGTGTGTTCGTTGTGTGTCTGTAGTGTGTCCGTTGTGTGTCTGTTGTGCGTTTACCCTCCAGCATGGCCAGGTGCATGGCGTCGTTGGCCCTCTTGGGAACTCCCAGCATCACCTCCAGGCCGTCCTTGATCTCACCTTTACCCTCCTCGCAGCACGACAGCAGCTCCTGCAGGACGACAGCAGGTTTACTCGTGTTGTTGTTGTTGTTGTTGTTGTCGTTGTTGTTGTCGTAGTGTTTGTGTGTCCGTACCTTGAGCAGCAGCTGGTACTTGGTGATCCTCTGCACCGGCTTGATGAGGTAGGAGGAGATGGAGTTGGCCAGACCTCGTCTCTGCTGGATGTCCTGAACACAAACACAACCAGTCAGGTCAGTGAAGGTGATCAAACAGCTCCATCTGCTGGTGAGACGGAGGAACTACAGCCTGGAAACACACAAAGCTGCAGCTGGTCTGACGCATAAAGCTATACATTTAGATAATAAACGGGTTTTAAGCTCCATATTCACTCTGATCCTGATTGACTGAGTCTTTGCTCCTGTTTGTTGTCGCCCTGAAACCTGAACACAGTTTAAATACTTTAAAAACACACAGATTTAATTTGTGAGAGGGTTCAAAACAAATAAAATCTTTCTAGAAAACAACTGAAAACAGGATAAAACTCCTTTTAAATCAACTTTGCACAGCGTTTTTTGTTTTGTTTTTACCAGAAAAAGGACAAAAATCTTGTAAAATCTACTTTACACGACTTTTTAAATAGAAAACAGGATTAAAAAACGTGTAAAATGAACTTTTCGTGTCTTTTTAGTTCTCTTCCTTTAATCATCTTTATCATTTTTCTTTACATTTTTAATAAATTTTTTAAGACATTTGACTTTTAAAATGTTTATTATTAACATTATTCCATTGTTTATGAATTCTATGTAGTTTTTTTTACCATCTTGTTTATATTTGTGAAGATTTTTCTGACTTTTCATTCGTATTTGTGCTTTTTCGGGTCCTCTTGGTGATGATTTATCTGATTCAGCAGCTGTTACAGACTCCTGAAGCTTTTACAGAAAATTTTAATGACATGTTATTCACTCAACATTTTATGACTGAAAACTTGGAGAAAATTGATTTTGTTTTCTGGCTTTTGACAGAATTCCTTCACCGTAGTTCATCAGCAACAGTTTGAACGCTGCTTTCATTCATGTTTTTACATTTCTGCTCCAAAAAAATGTGAAAATTCTCAAAGTTTTTAATCAGGTGACGTCTGAGCTTCACACCGAAACAATAAACTTGTGAAATCCTCCTTTAATTAACGAACTCTTCCGTTTGTTCGTCGTCGTGATGAACAAACGAAGTTTAAACTCACGTCAAAGAACGTTCCGGCGTGTTCCAGGATCAGCTGGCTGGAGTCGGGCTTGTTTTTGCAGTAATCCACGTAGATGTGGAACTTATCGGCCTGGAGGACAGAAAACACACGAACGAGGATCAGATCCGGGTTTATTTAAACCTGGTTTACTGGAAACCGGGTCAGACTCTCACCCAGGTGACGAAGCAGTGGCCCACGTCTTCTGGCAGCTGCTCGTAGTTCACCAGCTCCTTCAGGAAAATACTGGAGACACAGAAACACACTNTCAGTGCACAACTCTTGAAGTGTTTTTTTCCCCACTAGCCTCCATAACGGCCTACAAAAGACGAAGCTACAAAACTTGTATGTTTTTTTTTTTGGCATTTCCAAACACGCTCATGTTTAGCTCTCTCCACGAAATGCGACCTCTCGTTCAACCTCCACCTGTCGGTAGCAGGTACAGGTAGCGTAGCATCGAGCTCCCTGAAGGAATAAAGACTTAAAGCAGAGAGACGAAGCTGAAGACTTTAATGAGCGACTTCTGTTTGATGTTTGCTTGGTTCTGGTAGATGCACATAATCAGATGCAGATGAGGAGAGCCGGGATGTGCTCAGCAGTAATGAAGGACATGAAGCTCTCCCACATTCACATGGGGCACGTATGTGAGTAAACACATGCATCCTAAGCGTGTGCTCATGTTAATCATAATGTTAATAAATGGAGGATTTTACCAACAAAACTGCAGAGAGAGAGTTTACAAGGTTAATCCTAATCCAGAGTGTAAACATCAGATTACACAACTACTCTTTATGGGATTAACACGCGCTCCTTTATGGGATTATCCCCGCTATCGACCAGTAAATGATTTATTAGTGGTCAAGGATTCAAACGACAGAACCGCAGAGGAGACGAGGAAGAAGAAAAAAGGAGCATGAGTGTATTTAAGTGGATGATGCCGATCAGAGACGTCGTTGTCTGACTGGTTCCCACGTCTCTGTTCACAGGAAGTCACACATGCTGCCGTCCCAGCGCTAGCTCCACTGTACCACTAATTAAACCAAACGACTGACAGCTCGGATAGAGACGAGCATCACACGCTCTCTGTGGATCATCTCCACTTCAAAGCCCTCCAGAGCTCCGGCTGCATGTCAACCAAACTGTCTGTGAGCTCATCTGAGCAGATCCAGCCGACGGGTCGGAGCGCCGAGCCCAGCAGCAGATGTTGGCCACGCCGAGGGTTCTGATCTGGACAGAGGAGCCTCGCTGTACGTCGTCAGCTCTCCTCATTAGAGGCTGTGCGGACTACAGATGCGTGGAGTTGCCGTTGGGTTGCGTAAGCTGTCTCCGGTGACGGACCGGCACTCTGTCTGAACCTTCCTTCATTAGGATGGCGCTGGGCTGAGCAGGATTCATCTCTGCTGTTTGTGCTGCAGCGTTTCTGGTTAACAGGGTTCAGCTGAGGCGGCGTTACCTTCCTAACTCATTGACTTTTTGTTTTCTGCAAGAACCGCCCCGTAGAACCATCTTCAGGACAGAAAACAGACGCTACGTAGCTACAAGCAGCTCGTCTGCTCGAGGCTGAAGCTCTGTTCCATCGCAGAACTGCCCCCGTAGAGTCATTTTAAGGGGCAACAAAAGTTCCTACTCTGGTGCAGGTGCAATCAGCACATCCAGGGCTGAAAAAATACAACTGCAGTTCCTCAGATGTCCACTAGAGGCTCCAAAAGTAAGTCGACCCCCGTGTTAAACGTCTGACTTTACAGCAGACATAAACTGGTTTACAGCCCGGTGCAACGACCTGATCTGGTCTCTGTAGCTAGTCTCCTACTTCATGACAACGGCACTGAGGAGGATTTTTTATAAAACGTTCCAGTTTTAATTAGATTAAAGCTTAAAGTTCAGCTTAATTCAGGTGGTGGCGGCTGCGTACGAGGTGGACAATGAAGTCCAGGATGGCGCTTGCCTGTGAAAGACGTTTTCTGCTGTAAATGCTGCAGTTATTCTAAAACAGGGTTCAGTTTAAGGAGTTGTACTTCCTAACTTATAGACGTTTTATTACATTTAAGCTGTTTTCCATTGCAGTACATTTTAAGGTGGTCTGAATCTTTGTGCGACCGCGTTAACCGCCGCTGTAGAACCGTTTTTAGGGATAAAAAATTTCCTACTCTGGTGCCGATGCAATCAGCAGCGTCCAGGTCTGAAAACTGCAGTTCCTCAGATGTCCACTAGAGGCTCCAAAAGCCAGTGGACCCCCATGATAAACGTCTGCCTTTACAGCAGACATAAACTGGTTTACAGCCCGGTGCAACAACCTGATCTGGTCCTTTAGCTAGTTTCCTACTTCATGACAACGGCACTGAGGAGGATTTTTTATAAAACGTTCCAGTTTTAATTAGATTAAAGCTAAAAGTTTGGCTTAATTCAGGGCGTGTCCACCGTTACAGGACAGTCCAGCCCTCAGTCCTGCTCACTGTCACCCTCTTAACTCCTTTTTGGACTTTTGGGCTTCAAACAGACGGAGCTGTTTCCAGAGCAGGACCTCCATTAGAAGTTCTACAGGAGCAGAGCAGAGCTGCACAACACTGTGACAGGATCTGGAACTGGTTCTGGTTCTGATTCTGACCCTGTTGGCTTGAATTTGTCACTGAAATACACACAAATTGGACCAATTAGAGCACACAGCTGGAGCTACATCCAGTAATTTGTTTCAGTCGAAGTTAAATCTGTCGGCTCCTGAAGCTAAAATGAGAAACCGCGGTAGAAGCTAACCTGTTGTCGTCACGTCGGGGTGTTTAGTATCTGTAACATCCAGACATGCTGCAGCTTTGCCTTTCTGGGTTTCTGAGTTCAGACATGACTGCGACACAACCTGAGCAGAGAGTTTCTTCCTCCTGTTTCTGTGACTGTAGTTCAGGTCTGAGCTCTGTCTGGTGTCAGAACTACTGAGCATCACAGCAAAGAGTCCACATTTCTGCTCACAAAACCTCTCCATGAGCTGGGTGTGCAGCGTTTGACGGAGAGCAGCAGCAGCAGCGAGGCCCGGCGGCGGCGGCGGCGGTGGATAACATCTCCTGCAGACCTTCCAGAGGAGCTGGAGGACCATACATGGTTATGAGCCGCCGTGTGCCGCCGCCCAGGCTTTGAAAACTTAATCAGGCAGATTACTTACAGATGTTTGAAAGAAAAACAAAAAGTGGATATTGATTAAAAAAAAACAAGCGAGCAGCTCCGGAGCCGTCCCGGTCGGAGGCTCTGGTGTGGAACCGGATCTGGACTCACCTGAGCCACGTCCTCGAAGTCGTCGTGCCTCTTCTGCAGGGCCCGGGCCCGGTGCAGAGACTTGCCCACGCCGGTGTGTTTGCTGAGGAAGGCCTCGCCGTGGTTCTCGATCCAGTCCATCACCTGCACACAGGAAACACCGTCAGAGGAGCACCGAGGGTCCAACGCAAGGTTCTGGTTCTGAAACGCTCTGGGGCTTCATGAACAAAGGATCAGACGATGAAACAGGAATGACAGTTTTGACTTTTTGTTTGTTTGTTTTATGGTCAAACTCTAAACAAACACTTTTTGAACTTCTCATTATAATTTAACAAAACAGAGAAAATCTATAAATAACACTTAAAACGTTTATTTACCATTTTTATTCCTTAATATACTTTTTTTTTTTTTTTTTTTTAAATAATGGCAAATATCCATAAAATATCAAAGAAACTAAAATGTGGCCAAAAAAAAAGTGAAAATCTGGCAGCAAGGATCCCAGAAAACTGACGTTAAGACGGTGGAATATTAGAATTATTATAATATTGTTAAAACAACAACAAACATCTGTAAAGTAGGGAATTATTTTTGCTGATTTAAATACAATAAAAATTTTAATTTTAGAGTCAAATTGAGAAAAGAGAAAATCAGAATTTGTAAAAATACAGATTTCTGAACAAGCTGAAAATAAATTAAAATAATGTCCTCAGTAAAAGTTTTTTTTTCTTTTAATTATAATAAAGGTTTTGATAAAATATAACAAAAGAAAACTGAAAATTCCCTCGTCACTAAAAATAAAGTAAAAATAAAATAAAAGTACAAATTTAATGAAATTAAATAAAGTAAAAATAAAATAAAATATATTTGTTGTTAAATATATTTTTAAAAATGCATTTAAAATCCATATTTTGATAAATATTAATTTGTTATTTTACAACATTTCACTATAAGATTACACTTTTTAAAATCATATTTAAATCAGAGAAGTAATAATTATTTTATGGACATTTACGTTTTTAGGATTAAAATGTTCAGTAATCGTTCTAACGGTTGTTTTTCTGGTTCTTCATGTTGTTCTTCAGTCATCCTATCAGCTGATGTCATGGTTCTGTTCTGACTAAAGCTCCCTCCGGCTGAGCTCCGGCTCCGTCAGAACCTCATCAGAACCTCGTCTCGTCACCGCGTCGGGTCTCTGGAGCTGCAGCAGCGGATCGGGTTCAGCTCCAGGTCCAAACACTCGGCGCTGCAGCCTCGGCTCCGTCTCCGGGGCCCGATAAATCCAGCGGCACCGCGTCCTGCTGATTTACGGGCTCCTCTGGTTCCGTCTCACTCCGCTGCATGGATGCGGTTCTGGAGCGTCTCTCGGGTCTCGTCCGGCCACGAGCGGTCCGCCTGGCAGGGTTCTGTTTCTGTGATTTACGGCCTGAGGTGATGTCTTCTTTGTCTCTGAGCGTCTCCTGATCGGCGCCAGAACTCACATGTCTGAGCTCCGGTCGACCCGAAGCCGGTTCAGGCAGCGTTGGACCGCCACGGCTGGGTTCTGACGCAGCCGGGACACGTTCTGTCGTTTTCTAACCCATTTCAGAGTCACGTTGGACCAGTACTGGCACGCTGAACACATTCTGAGTCAAATTCTGTCCAACTGGACCCCGTTTGGATCGTCTTTAGAACTCTGGAGAGATTCTGAACCATTTTTGAGAGCTTTGGCGTCCCTGAACACACCTCTGATCCTTCTGGACGAGTTTGGAGTCACTTTGGTCAAAGTGTTTGTCATTTTTAGACAGTTTAGGTCCCTTTGGTTCCCTTTTTGGGTTTGAACCTATTTTAAGTCATAATAAAACACATTCTGAGACATTATGGACCATTTTTTAGTCCAATTTTTGAGAGTTTTTATGTCCCTGAACTCATTTCTGATCCTTCTGGACGAGTTTCTGTCGTGTTTGGATGGTTTTTGTGTCACTTTGGATCAGATCGTGTCATACTGAGCCTGTTCTGAGTCATAATAAAACACATTCTGAGACATTTTGGACCGTTTCTGAGTCATTCAGAACCAGTTTTTTGTCATATCCAGATCCTCTGTGAGTCATTCTGGATAAATCCCGACACACTGAAGACATTTCAGATCGTTTTGGATCAAGTTTTGTCACACTGGGCCTAGTTTCAGTCATTCTGGACAAAATTTTGAGCAAATTTTGGCAGAATTCTTTCACATTTGACCATTTTAAAGTTGTTTAATACACCATTGCATCACAGTGGACAGATTTTAAGACATTTCTGAACAAACTGTGTCGTATTCAGTCAGTTTGGACTCAGTTATGTCACGCTGGAACAGTTATTAGTCATTTTGCACATATTTTTATTGTATTCTGAGACATTTTTAACCGTTTTTAATTCATTTTGGGCAGCGTGTTGTCATCTATTTGTCAGTCTGTAGACTCATCTTGAACCTTCCTGGGGCTGTACTTTGTGTTGAGGATCTTTATTTAAAAACCTGCAGGAATCCTCTCAGACGGTTTCTATCTCAGGAATCTTCACGTTGAGCAGCAGCTTCGGAGATGAATGAACGCGTTGTGGAGAATCTGGTCAGAGTTCATCGTCTGGCGGCAGACTTCACGCCGGCAGAGAAGATTTCAGGCTTTGGTTCCAGAAAAGTTGCCGAAGCTCAACTCTTAATTCAGCGAATCAGGAGTTTGTATGTTTTTATCTTTTAGCTCCTGAGAGCTGCAGAAAACGTAAATGGCAACCAACAGCAGCCGCGTTTAATAAAACACTAAAAAAAATATTGTTTTAAACAGGATTTGACTGTAATTTTATCATTTGTGGTGTTTTCCTGTTACAGAAAAAAAATCACTGAAAAAAATTAATTCTTTTAAAAAGGCCAAAATTATAAATAATGTCCACTTTAAATAATAATAATAACTACATGTTGATGCGATGACAGCGGTTTGTTCTTTTACAACGTGTGACGCAGTTTTACTGCATTTAAATCACAAAAACTATCATTACTTTACAGATATTTACTGTTATTTAAGAGAAAAACTTTTATATTAAGGATTTTAAAAAATGATAAATAATAACTGCTATTTTTTTTTTAAATTTCAGTTTTGTTAAATTACAGAAAATGTCTCGCAAAAGAAATCTAGTAATTTTTTTTAAATTTACGCATTGACTGTAAATAAATAAAAACTGCCCCAAACTGTAAATAATGTGTAAAAATCTGTATTTTCACAAACAGTAATTTGATTTTTTACACTGTGAGACTGTTAAATTCACTTTTACTGTTTTCAAATCAGCTAAAAATATATTTTACAGATATTTGCTGGTATTTTCAGTTTTACAGTTTCTCACGTTTTTTTTGACTCCTTTGCTGCCAGATTTGCTCAGTTTTGTTTTTTTTTTCATTATTTTATTTATTTTATATATTTGGACTCCTTTGCTACCAGGTGTATTTATTTATTTATTTTATTTTATTTATATTTTATTTTATTGTATTTATTTATTCCAGGTTTCCAGTCTTTTCCACCCTCTCTGTGTTCTCCTTCACCTGCTGGACGTCCTGCTGGAACACACACAGCTGCAGCCTCTGGTGCAGTCGGACCTTCCGGTGCTGCCAGATGTTCTCCAGACGCCGCTGGTGGTGCAGAACCTCGTGGACCACGTCCAGGATGCAGTGGACCTGCTCGGGAACACACCGGTTCAGTCCGTCGGGTACAAACGTGAACGTTAACGTGTTCAACGTGAGCAGCAGGTAGAAGACGACTCACCGCCTTGGAGTAGTTGGCCGTCGCCGTGAGGGACTCGGAGTTTCCAGGACTCAGAGGTCTCTGCAGGACGTCCAGCAGCGCCTTACCGTCCTGACTCACCTGGAGAACACACACAGGTAGGAACAGGTGAAGAACAGGTAGAACGAGTGTCATGTCGGCCTCCATCCCATAACACTGGGCCCTCCATCCCATAATACTGGGCCCTCCATCCCATAATACTGGGCCCTCTATCCCATAATACTGAGCCCTCCATCCCATAATACTGAGCCCTCCATCCCATAATACTGGGCCCTCCATCCCATAACACTGGGCCCTCCATCCCATAACACTGGGCCCGTCTGAGCCCGTCTGAGCCGTGGGTTTACCTCGGTGTAAGCCTGGGTCACCTGCTCGTACAGACTCTGGTGTCGGTGGATGGCGATCTCCAGCTCCTGCATCTCCGTGGGCAGCCCCCCCTCGCTGCAGACCTTACACCAGGCCTCCACCTCGGACAGGAACTGACCGACAAACACAACAACAACAACAACAACAACAACAGGCTCATTATTATATGATTCCATCTGGAACCAAGATATAAGTCATATGAGTCATTGGCTTTGTCGTTCTGTAGTCGTTGTATGTCTCTGTTGTGGTTGTTTTGTGTCTCTTTGTGGTTGTTTTGTGTCTCTTTGTNAACACCGTCAGAGGAGCACCGAGGGTCCACCGCAAGGTTCTGGTTCTGAAACGCTCTGGGGCTTCATGAACAAAGGATCAGACGATGAAACAGGATGTGGGTCAGAGCAGCTTCAAACTGCTGCAGGTCAGTGTTCATGTCCTGTGAGAACCCAAGTAGACGTCGGGTTTGAGTTCTGCAGCTGAGACGGACTTGATCGTCTCCCGGCGCTGATCAAACCCACAGAAACCCGTCAGAGATGAACAGAACCCATCTGGACTTTAGTGTCCAACACTTAGAATAAAAATCTAAATTCCTGACAGATGAAGTTTAAATGAACGTAGTGACGAGTTTAAAACAGGATTTATAGAAAATGTAAAAGTGGCGCGTTCATTAAAATAAAACTATTTATTATATTTAAAAGATGTTTTCTGTCAGTGAAACTTAGAGAAATCCTGTAATTTTACTGTTTTTACTGTTTAATTATGTTTGTAATTTACTATTTTAATGTTTATTTAATTTTACTTTTATTGTGTTTAAGACAGAAATGAAGACGTGCAGCGACCACGACACATTTAAATAAATTAACGGACATAAATAATTAAATAAATTAATCAATGCGACACGTGTCCAGAAACTCTGGTTTAAACTCGTTTGTACTTTAAAGTTGGTTCTTCTGTTGGTAATTTTCTGATTTACTTTAAAACATCTGTTAAGAAAATGTGAACATGTGGTTGTTGAATCTATCACCCTGTAAAAAACATGAAAATAGAATTATATTATGGTCAAACGTTGGTGTTTGATGTGGACATTATTTACAGTTTTGACCTTTTATTTGTTTGTTTGTTTGTTTGTTTTACGGTCAAACTCAAAACAAACACTTTTTGAACTTCTTATTACAATTTAACAAAACAGAGAAAATCAATAAATAACATTTAAAACTATTATTTACCATTTTTATTCCTTAATATACTTTTTTTTCTTTTTTTTTAAATAATGGCAAATATCCATAAAACACACATTAAATAAATTAAAATGTGGCCAAAAAACAGTGAAAATCTGGCAGCAAAGATCCCAGAAAACTGACATTAAGACGTTGGAATATTATAATTATTATAATATTCAGAACTGTTAAAACAACAACAAACATCTATAAAGTAGGGAATTATTTTTGCTGATTTAAATACAATAAAAATTGTAATTTTAGAGTCAAATTGAGAAAAGAGAAAATCAGAATTTGTAAAAATACAGATTTCTGAACAAGCTGAAAATAAATTAAAATAATGTC